AGAGAGAGAGAGAGAGAGAGAGAGAGAGAGAGAGAGAGAGAGAGAGAGAGAAGACAGACACATACGGATGAGTAGAAATAATAGACAATAATAGATTGGACTTCTGTTATTCATTTCCTTGCTTGAAAGTAAGTTCTCAACATTTTACAATGTAATACCCACTTGTTTGAATGAATGCAAAGACAAAAACAGACAGACAGACAGACAGACAGAGAGACAGACATCCAGACATCCAAACAGACAAATAGACAGACAGCCAACCAGACATCCAAACAGACAGACAGACAGACAGACAAACTAAACAAAATGGAGAAAAAGATGTAGAAGAGATTAGCAAGAGTATACTTTATAAGCACAGTGAGTCACATGTTGACATCTGTTGACATCCTCCATGGCAGAAAAAAAAAAATTGATTGTATCTTAAGCAGATTGAGGATCGAATAACTTTATATGATTACAAATAACTTCAAACTGACTAAGCCTTCTCCACATCAAACCTCAGAGTCAAAAAAATGTAATCAAACCCGGTAATATTTTCTTCACTGCTGGGTCAATGCATATGTAAGCCTGCTGGAGTACACATAGATTGTTGTTTAGAAATTGTTTTAGAGTACCTCTGGTGACCGCGCCCCCCCCCCCCATCCTCCCCTTTTTGCCCTTATTCCCCCAGTCCTCATTCTTGCATGTAGATCTATCTATGTGCAAAGCACAGCTTGCAGTCACGGGCTAATCAAGAATAAACTACTACTGAATGTGTGTGTGTGTGTGTTTGTGAAAGAGAGAGTGTGTGTGTGTGTGTGAGAGAGAGAGTGTGTGTGTGTGTGTGAGTGTGTGTGAGTGTGTGTGTGTGTGAGTGTGTGTGAGTGTGTGTGTGTGTGAGTGTGTGTGAGTGTATGTGTGAAAGTGTGAGTGTCTGTGTGTCTCTCTCTGTGTCCGTCCGTCTGTCAGTCTGTGAAATCTATGTACTTATCTATCGATATACTGCATGTAGATATGTATGTGCAAAGCACAGCTGACACACAGGAGCTAATCAAGAATAAACATTGCTGTGTGTGTGTGTGTGTGTGTGTGT